AATGAAAAAAAAAAAAAAAAAAAAAAAAAAAAAGAGTTAAATATTTTTCAGAACAAAAATTATAAAAATACTCAAAGATATTAATATAGAATTTGAGGATGAGGAGGACTTTGCCATGTCTAACACCAAAAGCAGAAGCTATAGGGGAAAGGATTGATAGACATGACTTCCTAATAAACATTTCTGTAAGGCAAAGAAAAGCAAATGACAGGGAGGAGTTATTGTATTAGCATATGACAGACAACAGGGTAATATCCTCAATGAAGAAAGTAAATATTCCAAAAAGAACAGGCAAAATCACGACAAGGTAATTTATGAAATAGATACAAATGACCAGTACAAAAAAAATTGTGTTTAATATGACATGTAATTTTAACCAAGCGAAAATTAGAAAATGCCATTTTTTTTTTCTTTTTATCAAGTAGGCAAAATCTTGAAAGAATGGCATAGGTATGAGAAAACGCATAACTTATACTCTTCTCAAGAAAGTATTATTTTGTACAACCTAATTAGAGTGCAATGATATGGTATGAAATTTAGAAATTAGAAAATAATTTAGAGGTGAGGAAAAGAATGTACCTCAAATGATTGTTGTAGTGTTAACAGACATGTATCGAAATGTAAAATACTCATTGCCCTCAACCCAGTGATTCCACCTTTAGAAATTTAGTCCAAGGAAATAATCTGGCCTAAGGACAAAGACATGTGTAAAGCAAAGTTCTCCCCTACACTTCTGTTGAAATTGGTGAAAAACTGGAAATATGGTATATCCATTCAATGGAATACTATGCAGCCATTAAAATGTTGACTTTTTATTACTTACTGAAATGGAAAGATGATTATTATGTATTAAATGAAAAAGAAGTTACTGAACATGATATATAGCTTTGGCTTAAAAATTGATATTTATGGGACCAGCAGTTGGCATAATGGCTATGTTGCCGAACTCCCATGTAGTCGACCACAGTTTGAGTCCTGGACCCAGTGGCTTAAACTCACACTGGGCGCATGTGCGTGCATGCCCAAGATCCCGAGAGGAGAATGGAGGAGAAGGGATTGCGGCATGGCCATCCCCCCCGGGGGGGTGATTTTTCACTTTCTGTCTCTCTGTATCTCTCTGTCTTTCTGATGAGTGCACGCACCCTATAGAAAAAAACCTCTAAAAAAATATCGATATTTGTATATGTCAGCATATAAAAAGGCTACAGAGATATATAACAAATCATTACCATTAAGTATCTCTAAATAATGGGATTGGGGTAAGAATAGTTTTCTTTGGTTTTGCTTTGCTATGTATTTAACAGAGAATATATTATCTGAATAATAAAAATGCTGAAGGGAAACTTTAGAAAATGTCAGCAGCTGTTACAGATAATTTACAGGAAGTGATTAATAATATGGGCTATAGGGACCAGCAGTTAGTGTAATGGCTATGTCGCTGGACTCCCACATAGTCAACCGTGGTTCGAGTCCCAGACCCGGTGGCTTAAAACTCATGCCGGGTGCATGTGCGTGCATGCCCAAGATCCCAAGAGGAGAATGGAGGAGAAGGGATTGTGGCGTGGCCATCCCACCGGGGGGTGATTTCTCGCTTTCTGTCTCTCTGTCTCTCTCTGTCTGTCTGGTGAGCACACGCGCCCTATAGCAAAAACCTCTCAAAAAAAAAAAAATATGGGCTATATTTCCTTAAGTGTATAATCTAAACCTTTTAGTATATACACATAAATACACAACTTACCTTTTATAAGTCTTTTAACAGAGTCCAACTGTGTAATAAGCAGTATTTCTTCATTTTTTAGTATCTCAAATTTAACCTCATATAGTTCCAACTGAATTTCATAATACTGGAGTTCTAATTCATCTACGATGTGTATATTTTTTTCTTGCTCTGGAAGGTCTTCCATCTTGTTTTCATGAAAAGAAAAAGTTCAAATAATATATAAAAAGCAAAATTTAGAAGCAGCCTAGCTATTTTGTATTCCTTGCTCAGTACTAAGTATAAGAAAGCAAATAGAGAAGAAGCATTTGCGTTTTATCTAGAGAGACAAAAATGCTTTATTTGACATTCATTACGAATACTTTATCTCATCCTTGAAACACAGGAAAATATTTAGACTCTGAGAAGAATAAATGGCAATGAGGTATTGTTATGGACTAACTGTGACTCCTCCACAGAATTTATATGTTGAAGCTCTCGCCCCTAGACAGATGGTAGTTGGAAGTTATTAGGTTTAGATTACATCTCAAGAGGGTGGTGCCCTTATGATAGGATTAATGTCTTTATAAGAAGAGGAGAGATCTGTCTACACGCACACCCCGAGGAAAGGCCATGTGAGCACACACCAAGACAGTGGCTTTCTACAAGCTAGGAAGAGAGCCCTCACCAGACACTGAATCTGCTAGGACCTTGGGCCAGCCAGGTAGCATGGTGGTTAAGGTAGCTAGGTCCCATGTGGCCAAGTGTGCAGTTCAAATCCTAGACCCCATGACTTAAAAAACACACCAGGTATGTGTATGCATGCCCAAAATCCCAAAAGGAGAATGGAGTAGGGATTACAACATGATTATCCCCCTGACAGGGTGTTTTCTCACTTTCCCTGTCTGTCTGTCTCTCTCTCCAGTAAGAGGATGTGCCCTATAACAAATTCACAACTAAGCGAAACAAGATATGCCGAAACCTTGATATTGGACTTCTCAGCCTCCACAACTGTGAGGAATAAGTATCTGTCATTTAAACCATCCAGTCTATGGTATTTTGTTACATTAGCCTGAGCCAACTAAAACAGACATTTGAAATATTCCCTGCTTTTAAGTCATAAGGTTATAGGAAAAAAATTAAGTAAGTGACTATGAGCTGCGGATGAAGCACCTCTTTAATTATTCTTAAGTTGTACTAAAAGCATTGGTGGGTTGATTTTAAAGTATATTACCTACCAACTTTGGTGCTGAGCTCAGTGTTATTATAAAGTGAATTCTACAATACAATATTTCAGAAACATCTGATCCCAGAGAAATTATGGCCAATCTTCCATAGTCTAAATTCTTATCTACTAGCACATGACATTGGAATAAATGAAGAAAAGAAGCTCTTTAACAATGCCAGAAAATAAAGTTTCTATCTAGAAAGTGTGTGTGTGTGTACACACACACACACATATATATATAATTTTTTTTAAATCTATTTTTTAAAGAGGTTTTTGCCTTAGGGTGCATGCGTCACCAGAAAGAGAGAAAGGCAGACACACTGAGAGGGAAAGTGAGAAATCACCCCTCAAGGGGGAAGGCCACACACCACAGTCCCTTCTCCTCCATTCTCCTCACAATCCCTTCTCCTCCATTCTCTTCCCAGGATCTTGGGCACGCACATGCGCCCAGTCACATGCGCCGATGGTGATTTCAAAGCCATTGGGTCTGGGACTTGAACTACAGTTGGCAATGTGGGAATCCAGCAACGTAACTGCTATGCTACCTGCTAGTCTCTAAAAAGTATATTTTTAAAACAAAGTTACAATTATGTTTGCTTACCTTTCCCTGAATTTCACTTCTTTTGTGATTTAAACACAACTCTTTGGCTCTCATGAGCTGTAGAGTCTCTCGAGCTAGCATTAGCTTGAGTTTTTCTAGTCTGGGAGTTGCTGTCGCCCAGGCAGCCTGGCCAAATCTTTTTCTGTCATCTTCCATTTGTTTCTGCATTCCTGTTAGATTACAATTAATAAAATAAAATAGAATTACAACTCATTAAAAAGGGAAAAATCTATCCTAAGCTAATTCCCGGACTTGGTAACTTGCTTTCTCACTTTCACGCTCTCTCTTGCTTTGTCCTTCTCTGGTCAAATTAAAATAAGTAAATAAATAAAGTCAAATAAAGTAATTTTTTTTAAATTTAACTTTATTTATTCATTTTAATTTGACCAGAAAGGGACGGGGAGAGAGAGGGGTGGGGGGGAGTGAAAAGGCAACCTGCCAGGTCCAGTGTGGGAGTCCAGCACCCTTAACCACTACACCACCTGCTGGCCCCTAAAATAATTCTTTTTATAAAACCCAAATCTTGTTTTAATAACAATTTTACTATCAAAAAATAATACACAATCAGAGATAAAAAATTTTTGGTATTCCATTGTTTAAAAGGCAGTCATTCCTCATGGGCTCACCTAGTTGAAGCAGTGGCTTGTTACATATTGGCACGTATACTTCTAGACCGTCTGTCGAGCTAAGCAGGCTTATATAGTTTGACGAAACAGCCAGGGTCCTCATTCTGCTTTCTGTCCTGCTTACTTCACTCACTATCTTTTTTTATGCAAAAAATGTGTCATGACTTTTCCAACAACCCAATATATTAGGAGTGCCTCCCATTCACAAAAAGATAAAAAGAGCATCATGTTTAACGGCCTTATAGTTTTCCATTTTATGACTCTATCATAACTTCAGGCTACTTGAGGCTATTATCAGTGATTCTTTTAAGATTAGACTAGAGTTCTTTACCCCTAGAGATCCCCCTCGTCTTCCTAGCATTCTCCCACCTCCTTCTCCTCCTCTCTGCTTTCTTTAAGCCCCTCATATTTGCCAAGCTCCCTCAAGCCAGAGGGCCTCCACAAATGCTATTCCTTCTGCCTGTAACTCTGCCCTCACTTTTTTGCCCTTTCAACTTCCATCTGCCCTCCAGGTATCAGGGCCAGAGCCTCTTCTCAGAGGACTCCAGTGACCACCTGCTCAAGCCTACTTTCTCTCTCATAGACTATCAGAGCCCCCATGTTTCTCTGTTGCTTATTGCCATTGTCATTTTCCATGTGCTTGAATGAATCCATAATTAAGACTTCTCTCCCCTCACCAGACTGCATAGTCTGTTATCCTTTTCCTTATACCAAATTCCTAGCATTGAGGAAACACAGTACATAATGCTTAAGAGGCACTCAAATGTTTGTGTGTATATGTATATGTGTGTCGTATTATTTTTTTGCATAGTCTCGCTATGTTGCAATCCTCCTGCCCCCTAAGAGGGCCGCAGGTGCATGCCACCTCACTCCCAAGTGAGTAAAACTACAGACACACAACCACTCGAACTGAGGCCTCAGCCTGCCAAGCACCACTGTCACACCTGCACTATTGCAGCTAGGCCTCAAAATTTTTTGAATAGAATAAAAATTACATGTGTCTTAGCTTAGTATTGTATTTTTTGCTTGTTTCTTTTTTTTAATCACCTGCTAATGCTTTTACTGTTTCCTTAAAATAATTCACTGTGATATCTTGGATAGAGACAACAGCTTCTTCAGCCCGTCTGGTCCATTCTCTGGCTTCCTTTGTCAGGGCAACTATCCTTTTGGGACCCAGGTTATCCTCATCCAAGGACTTCTACAGAAAGAGAGGAAAGTTGTCTTAATAAGATAACAGTACCATAGAACCATTAGGAAATTGATCACATAGGTTTATTAGTTTTTTAGAATTATTTAATTTTATTCATTATTATTATTTAAATTTGACCAGTGAGAGACAGAGTTGCGGGGGTCAGGGGTCTGAGAAAACAAACTGCCAGCTCTGGGACTTGAACCGCAATTAGCCATGTGGGAATCCAGCGCTTTAATCACCACTCCACCTGCCAAACCCCATACATGGATTGTTTTAACAACTTTTATTACTTTTATTATTTTTATTACTATTGGGTCATCAGGAAAGTCATGACATATTTTTCCGTTTTTCTGTGCAAAAATGTGTCCCGGCAACCCAGTATTACTTAGGCAATTAAACTTTCATCCATTTAGCAATCCCTTATTCAGAATGAATAAAGCTCTAAACTGGGCACCACCAGGAAATCCCAGGGATGCTTTGAAGCATCAAACAAACAAACAAAAAACCTGCACTTTGCATTACTACGACAGTTTTTCCTAGAGAGCGATGCTGTTATGTTGTATTTTCCTGCTGTTTAAATGAGATCTGTGGTATTAAACACTCGACTTGGTACACAGCACTCCAGTGTTAGCTGTTGTATGGTTTCTCCTCGCGACATGACAGGAAACTTTTCTTTTCTTTTTTGGAGAGGTTTTCGCTATAGGGCATGTGCACTTGCCAGAAAGACAGAGAGACAGAAAGACAGAAAGAGAGAAATCACCCCCCCAGGGGGGATGGCCACATCGCAATCCCTTTTCTTCCATTCTCCTCTCGGGATCTTGGGCATGCATGCACATGCACCAGGCATGAGTTTAAGCCACCAGGTGCAGGACTCAAACTGCGGTCGACTACATGGGAGTCCAGCAACATAACCATTATGCTAACTGCTGGTCCCAATGGGAAACTTTTCAATACTATAGTTTTTTTTTTTCTGCAGGATAAAATATAATCACCTAAAATAATAAAATCTGTATGTTTGTGATTATGGCATGTATTGCTGTGGGCTGAATATTTGTCTCTTTCCAAATTTATATGCCGAAGCCTAAATCCCTAACATCATAGGATTTGGAAATGAGGCTCTATGCTAGGTAGTTAAGTTACAAGGGTCCAGCCCTCATGAAGGGCTAGTGCTCTTATGTTTTGTTTTGTTTTTTTATAAAGCATGATTTAGTGACATAGGTGAGCCATCGGGAAAATGCAAATCAAGGGGCCAGCAGGTGGCATGGTGGTTAAGGGACTGGACTCTCACAGGCCGATCATAGTTCAAGTCCCAGTCCTGGGAGCTTGCATTCTTCCTCTCTCTCTGGTGAGCACACGTGCTCTATAGCAAAGTAAATAATAAGAAGAATAAATAATTCTAAAAAAAAAATAATGATTAATGCAAATCAAAACCACAGGGAGATACCACTTCAAACCACTAGGGTAACTATAATAAAAAAGACAGATGTTAGGAGCCAGCAGATGGTGTCGTAGTTAAGGTGCCAGACTCCCACATGGTTGACCCAGTTCAAGTCTGGACTTAGCAGCTTGAAAATCACACCAGGTGCATGTGCATACATGCCCAAAATCCTGAGAGGAGAAGGGATTGTGGTGTGGCCATCTCCTCTAGGGGGTGATTTCTCACTTTCCCTCTATCTGTCTCTCTGGCAAGTACACATGCTCTATGGCAAAAAAAACTTAAAAAAAAAAAAAAGTAACAAGTATTGATGATCTGGACAAATTAGAACCCAATTTACTACTGCAAGGGAAGTCAAATGGTACATTCGCTTTGGAAACAGCAATTCTTCAGAAGGTTATTAAACATTAGATTATCATTATGACCCACAAACTCCACTCTTTAGTAATTACATAAGAGAAATGAAACATACGTCCACACAGGAACTTGGACACAAAAATTCATAACGGCATTGTTCCTAGTGGCCAAAAAGGAGAAGTAACTTAAATGTCCATCAACTGCTAAGCAGCTATGTAAATGTTCAAAAAGTTCATGGAATGTATATTAGGAGAAGGCCATGAGGCTGACCATCCAGCACAGCAGTTAAGTGCTCTGCAGAGGAACCCAGATACCATGTGGCTCATTGGGGTCTGACCCCAGCCTGGTGGCAGCACTCCAGCTGTGTGTGCATGTGCCCAGGACCCTGATGGGATGGAGAATTGAAGGAAGAAGGACTGAAGCATGAACGGGACCCTGGGGGGGGTGTGCACGCTCACGCGTGCTCTCTCTATCTCCCACGCACTCACATGCAGGCTATCATGAATAAAAGGAAAATTAAAAAAAAAAAAAAAACTATGCATGGTTTTCAAATATTTTTGCACCAAAATAAACTCAAACTTTAATTCCATTTTTCCACAGATTTTTTTCAAGTCACTGTGTATCTGCTTATAATGAATATTACTCAGCAATAAAAAATAAGAATTCCTGACACATGCTACGGTGTGGGTGAACCTTGAAAACATTACACGAAGTAAAAAGAGTCTATCACAAAGGACCACATACTGTATAACTCCACTGATATAAAAATCTCCGGAATAGGGAAATCCATAGAAAGATTGGTGGTTGCCTAGAGTTGGGGGTAAATACAGAGTGATTGGGGATTGCTAATGGGTACAGGATTTCTTTCTTTCTTTCTTTTTAAATTATATATTTTATTTATTATTATTATCATTTCATTTGACCAGAGAGAGGGAGGGAAAGTGAGAAAGCAACCTGCCAGGTCCAGGACTTGAACCATGGTCAGCAATGTGGGAGTCTAGCATCTTAACCACTAAGCCACCTGCTGGCCCCCAGGGTCTCTTCTTAGGGTAAAGATGTTCTGGTAATGATAGCTACATAACTCTAAACATACAAAAAATATGAATTGAATCCTTTTTTTTTTTTTTGAGAGGTTTTTGCTACGGGGCACGTGCACTTGCTAGACAGAGAGACAGAAAGAGAGAAATCACCCCCCAGGGGGGATGACCACACTGCAATCCCTTCTCCATTCTCCTCTCGGGATCTTGGGCATGCATGCACACGCACCCGGTGTGAGTTTAAGCCATCGGGTCCAGGACTCAAACCGCAGTTGACTACGTGAGAGTCCAGCGACATTGCCATTACGCTAACTGCTGGTCCCATGAATTGTATCCTTAAAATCTAGAGTCCATGAATTACATCTCAATAAAGCTGTTAAAAGAAAAATATACAAATAAATACTCTCCGAATAATAAACTTTCAAAATAACAATAAGAACAACTTTACCCATGGGGGAGAGTGACCCTTGCTTCATTCATCCATACCATTTTTACAGTACAGACCTAGCAGGAGTCATGAGAAAAAATGTGGGGAAATGGCCCAGTGGGCTGGGTAGAAATCAAGAAATCTCTCTAATGTCTTTCTTAAAAAAAAAAAAAAAAAAATTTTTTTTTTTTAATTTGACCAAAGAGAGACAGAGAGGGAAAGCGAGAAAGCAGGCCACCAGGGCCAGGACTCAAACCGCAGTCAGCCATGAGGGATTCCAGCACCTTAACCACCACACCACCTGCTGGTCCCTCTTTTTTTTTTTCTTTTAATTTGACCAAAGAGAGACAGAGAGGGAAAGCGAGAAAGCAGGCCACCAGGGCCAGGACTCAAACCGCAGTCAGCCATGAGGGATTCCAGCACCTTAACCACCACACCACCTACTGGCCCCTCTAATGTCTTTCAGTTCCAGCCGTTGAGACCCAGAACAAGCTGTTTAACTCCTCTAGCTCTAGATTCATTTGTTAACACTGGAATATTAATAATACTAATGCCTTTTCTAAATAGGGTTATAAGGTTATTTGATGACTTAATGAATAAGAACAATGATAGTGTTTACTACAATTTAAATGACTGAATCACGATTTTGGGCCCTATTTCTTGAATTTTCAACCTATTTCTAAAAAACGTGGATGTGTCCTTAGAGGTGGAAAACAAACTGAAATAAACATTGCATCAAAAAAAATACACTGACCTCTCTCACAGCCTAGCTTCCAAGATGAGGAAGAAAAGAAGGAACAAGAGCCATGCCAAAAAAGGGCCTGCAGCCACATGCGGCCTATTCACTGCACAAACTGTGTCTCCTGTCTCCATAAGTGCCCAAGGACAAGGCTATTACGTTCATCATCAGAAACACAGCAGAAGCCACAGCCATCAGGGACCTCTCCAAAGCAAGTGTCTTAAATGCCTGTGTCCTCCCCACATTGTACGTGAAGCCACATAACTGTGTGAGCTGTGCCACTCATAGCAAGGTAGTCTGGAACCTATCTCTTGAAGCTTGTGTAAATCGAATGTCTCCACCCTGATTTAGACCTGCAGTGGTGCCTGAAGCCCTCCACCAAAATCCAAGTAAGGAGCTGAGTCTTTAAGGACTGAAGAACTGTCTTCTGGGAAACCGTAAAAGAGACATTACACATAAAAAAAATTAACAAATGAAATTGGGCCGGCCAGATGTCCTGATGGTTCAAGCAGCTGGATTCCCTATGGCCAAATGCATGGTTTGAGCCCCAGCCCGGTGACTTGAAAGATGCCAGGTGCATGTGTGTAAGTGCCCAGAATCGCAAGGGGGAGTTGAGAAGGGATTGTGGTATGGCCATCCCCCCGGGGATGTTTTCTCATTTTCTCTCTCTCTCTCATTCTCTGTCTCTGGTGAGCACACATACCCTACAGCAAACGCAGAAGAAGAAAAAAAATCAGCAGAATACATGTTTTTGACCCTTTAAAATCTGGAGAAATCCTAAGGTAGTAAAATAACTAACAAAAATAGCATTTTTTATCAATTTAAAAATAAATACATCTATATATCATCTAAACATGAAAGTGTAAACACAGATTAAACTTTCAATGTGACTGAAGAAAGAATATATGATGAACAATAAGTCTGATAAAATAAAAATATAAAGAAAACATACCAAAATATCAAGCTTACATAAAGTTGCAACTTCTCGCATATACCTAAATGGCTGCAGTAAATATTGGAAAAACATGGTTGCCACAGTAACTAGTTCCTGGTATGCTTCATCTTCCTCTTGATAAAGTTCCATTAATGCTACCATGGTGTTGGCTTTTCCATGTCCTTCAAGAATCTAGAAGGCAAAATGTAAATAAAGCTCAAGTCTGGACAATAGGATCACAAACAAAACTAAACAAATAAAATCAATGTTCTCAACATTAAAAAGAAAATTTTTTTTCCTGTTTATTTTTATTTTTTCGTGAGAGGGACAGAGAGAAAGAGAGAGATAGGCACCCCCAACAGGGCCTTCCTGCCACTATCCACCTCCAGTATTAGTTGGCATGCCCAGGGAGGTCCCAGGACACAAACTCAGAACCTTTCCCACATGGGTCCAGTCCACCTGGCTCCTATGTTCTCAATTTTTTCATTAAAAAAAAATTTTTAGAACTATTTATTTAATTGTATTTACTAATATTATTACTCTTCAATTTGACTAGAAAGAGACAGAGTGAAAAAGCAAGCTACCAGATCTGGGACTCGAACTGCAGTCAACCATGTCCAGCACCTTAACCACCACACCACCTGCCAGCCCATGTTCTCAACTTTTAACATCAATTTAAAATAGTGATTAATTATAAAAATGTTATTATCCCTCAACAAAAATGCCCAATAAAACAAAAATGATTAGTAAGGTACCATATAGCCACAGCAGAATATTACTGCCATAGCCATTGAGCAATGTACTTTTTGAAGACTTTAGTAATTCGGGGATTTTGGAGCAGGCTAGGTTGCATGGTGGTTGGGGTGCTGGACTCCACATGCTGGACCACGGTTCGAGTCCCGGATGTGGCGGCTTGCTTTCTCACTTTCCATCTCGCGCTCTCTCTCACTCTGGTCAAATAAAGTTAAATGAAATAATTCTTTAAAACAAAAAGAGTCCAGGACCTAGTAGGTGGAAAATCCCAAGAGGAGAATGGAGAAGGAAGGTACTTTCTCACTTTCCCTCGCTCTCGCTCTCCCTCTCTCTCTCTCTCTCTCTCTCTCTCTCTCTCTCTCGGGGGGTGGGGGGGAAGTACTCCCATTGTTGCTATTCCAAACTGAATAAGGCTCATTTCCTGTCGCCTTTTCATTGGACCAAGTCTTTATTACAAAAACAAAACACCCAAAACAGCAATAAGAAAAATTCCAATTTCCTAAAATCCATTTCATCCTCTAAAACATTTTATCTCTCTTCGCGATCTTCCCATATAGGTACAAGCTGACTGGCTTACATTTAGCTGTGTTACTGTTGCGTACATATGCGGGATGTTTTCAGTTTTGTTTTCATTTTTGGGACTTCCTGCCCATGTCTTCAGGGAAAAGGTCAAATGCCCAGCCTAGTTCCTGAGTGCAAATAAACCTTTTTAAAAAGATTTATTTATCTAATTTTATTTGTTGTTATTATTACTATTATTTAATGTGATCAGAAAGAGAAAGAAGGAAAGCGAGAAAGCAAGCCGTCAGATTCGGGACTCGAACCGCCGTCGAGCAGTTCAGCGCCTTAAGCACCATGCCATTTTCTAGCTCCCGTATAAATAAACTGCGGTCTCACTTGGCCTGTCCCCTCTAAACCTTAGGGCGCTCCCTGACAAGGGAGGGCCCCGGGGACCTGAGACTGCACTCCGCCATATCGCGGTCCTCCCCGAGGAGCCCCCGGAACGGTCTAGGCACAGTAACAGCAGACGCACGACCGACAGCGGGGTGAGCACCGCACGTACCTGGCGCAGCCGCGCGCCC